GGGGCAGATTGAGGGCCCCATGGTGAGGGAGGGAAAAAGGGAGAGAGGGAGAAAAAGAGAGAGAGGGAATTCCCCTTCAGTGGTGTGATGAGACTGGCAGCCTTTTGAAACAAAGTCCTGCTCACTCTTTTGTATGCTAAGTCCAGCTGTTGGGCAGTTTGGTTTGGTTTGCATGTTCATTTGGAGGCGATCACTCGGTCTCGCGTGTGCACTGTCCGTATGTGGGTCTGTTTCTGGAGCTTGTTATGTATCTGCGTTGTGTTTGTGGGGTGTGTGCTCAAGTATTAACTCGGTAATGCCTTCTAATGGTAGTGCTAATTACAGTAGGGTTATTTAGCAAATTAAGTGAGACTGTGCACCCCCCTTGAGCACCAAATGAACTTTTCCAAACACACACGCGCGCACACACACACACTCACACACACACACACACACACACACACACACACACACACACACACACACACGTTAATTTTGGTATGTTTCTCTCGCCCAATCACTTTGCTGGAACTAAAACATGCCTTACCTCAGAGCAGTCAATTACCAAAGCTACCCGTGATCATCAATCATGGGGGATGCTTGAAGTTTGGGGGAGGAGCGATGGTCAAACTATCGATTGCTGCAGTTTTGTCCTGCCCCCCCCCTTCTCGTTCACGGTCCCCTGCACATAAAATCTAAAACAGACTATCCCGTTAATAGTGGGATTTATCAATGATTATGTACCCAGTTGTGAATGTGGCCTCATGCATAGATGCCTTTTAAACATACACCGCAAAAAAAAAAGTATTTGATTTAGCCAGGGCTTTTTATTATTACTATTTTAAGATTTTTGGAAATTGGAAAAAAAATGAATCAAAGGGTAGTTATAGAAATTTGGCCAGATTTTAATGGGCATACGGAATGAGCTCCAGAGGTCAATAAACCCCTCCAAAATGATGAATGATTGAGTACCTGTGATGATGATAGTGATTACCGGAGCAATTAAACAGTTTGATTAAATGAGCCATCATAACAATGATGTCTGCGGGAAATCAGCCCTCACATATAAAGAAAGATAGTGTGGAGGGCTGACAACGCCAGTGGGCATTCCTACGTGTTCCGATAGTGTTGAGCCCTGCAGAGCAGAGTGTATTTACAAATATGAGGGCAATATGGAGAAAAGTCACTCAGATACTTTTAGCCAGAGTTGCACCCTGCTTAAAAATCGTCAGAAGCCGAAGAGCAGACCCGTTTTTTTTCCTAGAGGATCTCCTCCAAGATTAAAGCTAGCCCTAAGAGCAACCGATATTCTGTGGCTGACTTTCACGGGACTGTAAAGAAAAGGTGAGTAAAAAGCCCTTAGTACGTAGATCTCTTTCAAGCAGTGATTAAGTTGATTCATTTTGCGAAGAAAAAGCCAGTCTTGTTGTGCAGTATTTTATACTCTGTCGTATAAATCGGTAACGCAATTCAAGATATTCATGGTAATGAATACATGGCTAATCCTTTGGGTGCACGGAGACCTACAGAGCAGTGGGTTATGCAAATCCTTCCCTACTTTTACATTTGTACTTTTCTAACAGATTTGTTTTAAAAGGTATCTAGTCGTCGGTAAATACGCCTTCCTCCCTCCCCCCCCATGCCAAATTCCTTAACTTCCCTAGAAGCTTTTAACTGTGATCCACCTAATACAGCCAGCTTTCTAGATCACATTTTGAACGTTTGTAGCATATAAACTTATTTTCTAACAGAGGCAATATAAATATAGGGCCATGTCGCCTGTGCTGTATGTCTGTCTTATTTCTTATAGCTTCAGTACCAATGAGAGCAGAGGCTTTCACTGTAATATAGCCGTAGAAAAGTAATCTGGTTCCACTGAAGATTTCACGTATTAGTTCAGATCCCAGTCTGGGAGTACGGTGATGAAAGTTTACCCGTTTCCATGTAAAAGGGAAGTTTCTCCCCCACTTGATTTACATACAAGAAGGCGCTGAGTTACTTACGACACTGCCTTATCTTTCTTTTTTTCCCCACATTGTTGATTTTATAGTATTTAGCATAGATCTCAGTTCTCTGCACTACAGAGTTGTTAGAGTGCAACATAAATGAAGCTGCAGAAAAACAGCAAAAGCTTTTTGCAGCAGCAAACGCTGTTCCTTTCACATTTTTCACTTTAAACTAAAGCCCCTGGAGTTGGCTAGCCCGACTGAGTGGTCCAGTCTGGAACCGGGACCAACTTTTCACCAGGCTTTTTAAATCGAGGGAAAGTGAAATTTCTTACGTTTAGTGCAAAGATGTTCCTGCTCCGGTCGAATCTTTTTTTCCCTATGCACAGGGCTGAAAAGAGAGGGAACCTTTTCCACCTCTCACTATCCCCGTGGATTGAAGCCCAGAACCTCAGGGACCGTAGCTTCAGGAGCTACATTTTAGCCATTTCATTGCCACGCTCTGAAACCCTGGGCACACTCAGCGGTAACTAGGGCGCAATGGAAGCTCAGCCTGTAAGAAACAGAAGCAAAGAGTGGGAATTTACAGCTTTAGCTCTATTTTCCCCCTCGAGCTTGGTGGGATTTTCTTTTTCTTTCTTTCTTTTTTTTTTTAAACACCACCAAAAACAACCCCCACCCCCAGTAATTCAGGGAGATTAAATTGGCTGATTTCCAGTTTCTCGTACACGCATCACAACAAAGACTGTTCCCAGGAAAAGTGGGAGAGAGGCGATTCATGTGCTTTTTTGCAGATCAGCCCGAAGTCCAAAGAGAAATTAGGTGTCCGGTATGGAAGTGCGTCTTCGTCAACAGCCAGTTCCTTTTGCCGAGGCTGGAAATGGTTTTAACAGGCGGTAAAATTTCATCTTGTGGTGTCAAATTGGGGTCAGTTTGGGGTTAGAGCTCTCAGTGTCCGAGAAGGAGCTGTCCAGCTGTGTGGGGATTCATTAAGGGCAAAAGATCAGTTTCAAGAAAAACAATACAAAGACAATCAGAGGGCTAAAGATCCTCTTCAAATCGCATTTTACAAGTGCACCAGAACAAATATGGACGCTGAAACCTATTCCCTTCAAACTCCCAAATCGGCTTCTTAGCACTTGGAGGGAGTGCGAGAGAAAATCCTCTAAAAGTTAAGAGTCTGTTTTCAATCAGCCTTTCTGAAGTGTGGCATTTTAGCCTTTTGCTGGCTTGAGATCTGCCTCTCCCCGCCCCCCCCCCCCCCCCCCCCCCCCAGAGTCCTACAAAAGCGGATTTGAACAACAGGTAACATTTTAGATTTCAAAAAGATATTCCATTGTTCGTGTTGATCCACTGTTGTTATGCTCAGTACAATAATTTTATGGCAAAAGGAAAGTTTATTTTATTTTGGGGGGGGGGGG